TGCCGGAGTGCCACTCCGTGTAGCTTGTTAGATATGCCTTGTTGTTAGCCGATGTCATAGTCTGTCAGAAAGCCCATACCGCTTTGCTTGTTGAACACCCTTCCACCATGCTTTGTCTGGCCTGTCAGCCACCTTTTCAGGATGAACCCAACCAGTCGCCGCCACGTGTCTTGCAGAGGGTTAACCCCAAACCGAGTATAGAAAACTATTATTTGGTATCATAAACTTGCCTTGTAGAGAGAGAGAAGCTCTAGAAGAGGAGAAGAGTTCTTGAGAGAGAAGTAATCCAAGCTTGATTCCTAGAGATCGAACCGTTAGATCCGTGTTCTAAGGTTAGATTCTTGATTCGCTCATGATGTTCTTTATGTTTATGTTATTGCATTGCATGATTGAAAATGATTTGTAAGCCATGCATCCTTTTGAAGCTCGATTCTAGAAAGAGAAAATGACATTCATGTGTTCTTCAAGAAAGTCTTGTTTTGATCCGAAAGCTTTTCGCCTAGACTCAAGTTTTGTTGTTGTTTCTTGCATGATTTTCAACTACGGGTACCCAGGTCCATGTTTTCAAACTCTTAGCACGAAAATCCCAGATTTGTGATGCAGATTACGATCAAACATTCGTATTTTTCATGTTTTCACACTCATGTTCTTCATGTTCATCAACAGAGGGAAACCAGAGTTTCCCGACCTCTTTTCCTTGCATGTGGCCCTCGGGAACACACCTCGGCAAGGAGGTGTGGAACCTCGGCCTAGACCTGGGTGGTGCCCAGCATGTTTTCCGAAAACATTTGTGTACATGAGAGACTTGTTTGAAAGCGCATTCAATAGGCTTTGCCATGTGTTGTGAGACTGGGCTTGTCTCGACCGACGTGGGAAGAAACGATGTGAGTGGTATTTTTAATAAAGCTATGTTACACTTGCTTTCATAAATCTCGTCTTGCCTCGTTTTGAAAGTACTTGATCTAGCATAATGACTATCCCTATTTTGTATATCAAATGCTATCTTGTTTTGATGACTTGTCTTGACAGTCCTTAGTGCTAGAGGACTCTAAACTTTCGCAGCACAGCTTGTCTTGACAGTCCTTAGTGCTAGAGGACTATAAACTTTCGCAGCACAGCTTGTCTGACAGTCCTTAGTGCTAGAGGACTATAAACTTTCGCAGCACAGCTTGTCTTGACAGTCCTTAGTGCTAGAGGACTCTAAACTTTCGCAGCACAGCTTGTCTTTGAAACTTGTCTTGATATGTCATCACCCCTTGAAATAAGTAGATGTTATTAACATCCAAGGAACATGAAAGCCGGCAAAAGAACTTGATTTCCCTCTTGATCGATAAGTCACACACTGCCTAACTAATGGCTTGTAATAGTTTGACAATCTCTAAATCACAGTT